CGATCTCCTCAGCTGTCTCCTTGCCATAAAAGAGCAAAAATCAGGGCCACCCAACGAGAATATAGTTCAAAACCACTTAAACATAGCGCTGTTTAACGTGTTTTAGTATTTAAACGGTAGATATATTATAGGCGTACTTTTATTCCCTAAAAATTTTTCATCTGTTCGGACTTCCTAGCTGAAAGTCTAGTAATCTGAAAATTATAGGGATCAAAACTTACCTTTTCGAAAATTTCAGCCAGAAAAAAGGCTACCGAAAATTCCAGATGAGCTTTTCACTGTAAAAATCCATTAAAAATGGGCAATTATACCATTTTTTAGATGTTCGAAAATCCTAGGAGAGGCAGGCAAGCAAGAAATTTTACAACAAATGTTCCGAAAATTCTAGATCTCAAATCGTCTTCCGAACAGATATTTTCCAAAAATTAATGACGTTGGGTGCCCCTGACAAATCACACGAAAATCAAAACAAGAATTTACAGGCTTGGTGAATTTTACTTTTTTCACTTTATTTCCCTATGTTAAGCAGTAAGGATGGTATTTCTTTTCGCCACGAATTAGGTTCGGCACTTATAAAGTTCAACCGTCTGAATCAACAGTCGAACTTAATAGTTTGGGTCGACCTAAATAGGTATAAGTTCAGCACATGTAAAGTTCGACGTTTGAACCGGGCCTTACATTATTAATACTTTTATCCTGTTTCTGAGGTTATCCAAGGTGAATTAACAGGATGTCAAAAGCAAAAATAGTAACCGGAAAAAGGAAACAAAAAAACAAATATCGCTCATTAAAAGAAGTATTTAGCCATCAACACTGAAACAAGACTTTTGTTCAAAATTTAACATTGTTACGAATCTACGTCTTATAGAGGAATTTGAAATTTCCTCTTAGCTCGCGAAAACTGACAGTCATTTTATTGCACCAATACCTGCTTATTAAAGGGGGACACTTCCATTTAAACATATCCTAAAAGCTGTATGTTCTACTAGGAAAGCAAAAAGTTAACATACTGAAACCTTCGTATCTAGCTAGACATAAACTACAGTCTACTGAGAAGTTAACTGATGCTGGGCTCTGAGTCAGAAGCCCACGAGGCCGAAGGCCGAATGGGCTATTGACTCAGGGGCCATAAGGGCCAGAGGAATAATTGTTTTAGTAAAATCCAAATAGTTGGTCAAAAATATCGAGACTAAACAACTTTAGCTAACAAAACGCGATTCAGCCGCCATTGTTTTGGTTTTCAAAGCCAGCACTCGCTATTAGTGGGCTATAACATATAGCCTAGTAGTAGCTCAACCAAGAACGCAGCAGTGATAATAGACCACTAGTTAGATTTTACTAAAATGCAGATACATGGCGACCACAATCTATACGCAGTAGTGTCTTTAGCTGTGAAATCATATGAACTCTTCACCAGTATTCCACTTCAACTCAGGGCTCTAGACTGCTCTGCGAAAGCTATTAATCTATTAAAAACTTCTCTTAACTTTTGAACGTCGTATTTTCAGTACAACGGCAGACGTTAACACTCTCGGGCAATCACTACAAAGTCTACAAACACTCGCTGGAACTATCACACGTATACTACAACCTTACAACATACGTGTTGCACAGAAACCGATAACAACTACGAAAGCGAGACCGGCAGAAACCTTAGAACGTGCCTGTCTGAACAGAATCGGGGACGTCAGCAACCACATTGCTGAATATTACATATTTACAAACGAAACATCAAATCGACTGGGACTCTGCGACATGTATTATATACGTACTCTATAGCCTACTATCACTACGACTCACTTTACTAACTTAGAAAAAACGCCAATGAATCGTAGTCAACAGTTATCGACACCGTACAAACGACTTATTGATCCGGCGGACTCAAGCAAAACTCTGAAAACTAACAACGGCAGACTCCCTAGATGGGCAACCTACAATTTGACTAAACTGTGACAAAAAATGGATAGAAACGCAACACTGACATTTAGAGTATTCAATAAGCCAATAACATCACGGCTCAATTGACAGACGAAGAATAACTAATAACATGGCGACCCAGAAGCTCAATAACCGGAGTTTAATATCATCAACGTCCGTCATACAACTCATTTTGACTCTGAAAATGACTACCGCACAGGTTGTCGAAACTTTAGTTACTGTCAACAACAGTCCTAAACAGGACTGCGCTCACCTGGACGATCATACTCCACCTGCTTATGAAATGACTCTTTCACAGTTTACATCAAGCGTTTCATAAGAGCGGATGTCGATCAAATAAATAAAATACTCATACTTCCTTTTCTACTTAAAACAGGTGCACCTCACGACTGTTTCCTCCAAGATACATTGAAAACACTTTATAGGCTATCCAGATTGCTTTTAGATATCTAGAAATGCATTCTAATTAGCAGCGTTATGAAATTTTTATCTGCTCAGTCATCCTAAGGGAACTTGAGTCTTTTCAAAAATGATTACAATGGATTCAGTAAATTTCCCCGAACTGATATTAGATGCAGTTTAACGTATTACGAAGGAGACAATTTTTCTGATTCCTTTTTCCATCACATTTTTATTTTTGAATCCAAACGTTTCAGGTCTCCTTTTAGTAAGAAAAATAGCTTAACCTGGGGAGTAAAATGTGAAAAATCAAACTTCAGATAATCGTAGGGAATTTATTAGTTGAGCTTTGAAAATTTTGCATGAATAAAACGGTCGTGTAGAAATTTTTAGCCGTCCTCAGGTAATAGAAAATTCTTGCCAATATTTGCTTCTTCGAACACTGATGTTTTACAGAAAAACAGTCGTTGAGTGCTCATGTTTAAAGAACAAATTATCTGTTCCTTCCGTTTTTTGAATGTAATTAGTTAGTCAGCAAAATGCACCGTGAGTAATGAGGAAAAAATAATCCAGTCATTCTTCAAGTTGATCCATTCGTGAAACCACAATCAGTTTGGAGCTAAAGCAGTCACAAGGTGTACCTCCTTCGCGGCTGCTCGGGTCGGAGTCACTTACTTACGTACGTGAATGATGTTTCGGGCGCTTTCATTGCGTGTCAGAGTGAATCAAAGGATTGTGGGTTATAACTGGTTTTGTTTGTGTAAAAGCAGGTGTTGTGTTGAAAGTGAAGGGCAGCGCGGCTATGTAAACAAACGATCATGCGTGAAACATCCGTTTACCCCGCAATCAGTTAAATTGGTGTAGCAACCTGTATAGTACGCCCGATACGCACGATCGTACATAAAAACATCGAGTGTCAAAAAATAAATAAACTGCAGAATTCAGAATGAAAAACAAATACGCCAAAAATCATATTATGAAGAACATTAATTTTGCCTCAATTCCAGCGAAGCGACGTTATTCATCGGTGGGACAAACTTTGCCTTAATGTTATAATTAGAGAAAATGCGATAAAATAGCCCGCAGATAGCAAGTTGGATGGTAGTAAATCGAAGACGCGTTGTCTTCATCGCGGTCTGTCTTTGCAGAAGACGAAGTAACGTTAACGTAGGGTGCTATAATATCGGTCAAAAACTGAATGCGTCAAACTGCAGCGGAAAAATAAATCATTTCAGTGTGAATACTCATGATTGAAGCGATTGAAGTGTTTTAGTCAGTGAACCCAAAAGTCCATAAAGACTTCACAACTTACTAACACCATTTCATAGACAGTAAAAACGCTTTGGCTTACAAAATAACCTCACCTGTATTCGAGGGACCTGAAAAGAAATTGGGAACTTTAGTGGGGAGGGGTAGTGGTGTGGAGCATGGGAGCCAGAAGGATATCGTGTTCTCGCGCGAAAGCTCATTTGGTATTTCATTTATGAATAAAATTTTGTACTTGCATACAGTTTAATTTGATCTTCCTTTTTCATCAGAACAACCAAAGGTCGTTTGACTTCCTTCCGTTTCTCACATCGGTGTAGTGAGCAAAAATAAAGAAAATTGAAGCAATTACTATAAACAAGGAATAAAAACAACTTATGTGTTGTTGAAACTCTTACATAAAGGAAACTGAATGCATTACTTCTATCAAGCTGAAATGGTTTAAAAGCCGTTCCTACTTCTTTTTTTATTTAGTTCATCAGTGCGTTCAAGAAGGTAAGTATGTTCGAATTACACTCATCTTTTTCACATAAGTAAGTTGTTTTTCCGGCCCAGGCTGAAAATATTCTTACCTTTTTCTTAAATTAACGCCTAGGCAGTATACTGTCCATACAGTAGAAAATGCACCGTTCATCGAACTGTTATTAGCATCGAACATTTGGCTTTAGCTAGTGCCGTTTTTTTTTTTGTTTGTTTGTTTTTTTTTTCATTTTGTTGGCTAGTTTTGTCGTTTAGCGAAGGGAATAATTTTATCAGTTACTTAACTTAAAAATTTATTCGTTTGTTTTTTATCATCATTATTACTTCTCACTGGCAATTCAATCACTTTTTCAATTGCTTTCTGCTGCTTTGCCTTGCGGTGGTATTAAACGATGACTGGGAGCCAGAACAACTTATGTGTTTGCCTTGCGGTGGTATTAAACGATGACTGCAGTGTATTCGCGAAACCATTCACCCAGTTAGTTTTATAGTGCAAATATTAGGTTCAGAAAGACGACTAAATCTTTTATCTGGAATAACAAGTTTATATGGAAAACATGTTGAGGCTGTGTTTTCATATTAAACACCCAACTAACAGTGTTAAAAAAAGTCGAAAGTACGCCGACATGTTGGCAAACGCTCGCCTTTTTGAGTAGGATAAAACTCAAGAGACCATAAACAACTGAATTCGCTGATGACCACCAGAGTTTTCTGTTATTTATACTGTTACAACAGTAAAAAAAATCGTCGTTGTCCCCGGGACATTAAGCACCAATGACAGTCTCTACAGAGTGTATAAGTTGTTTTATCAAAGTTCTGATTAATCTATTTTGTAGGAACAGTCCGTATAACACACAGTTGCAATAAGATTGAACTAGCCGGAGGCACATTGGCATCAGAGTTAAGGTGAACTGGTCATGGCTCTCGTACAGATTTTCCTAGTTCTCGTGGTTTTGTCTTCTGAAGTTGGTGCTTTGTCGTGGAGTAACTGCGGTGAGCTGAGAGAAATTCAGTATTGATTTGAAACTCAGTTTAATTTAAAGGGAGACCCACAACTTTTAATACAAGCTTTGACGAACAACAAATATCAATAATCGAACCAAAATTAATGGCCTCAGTCAAAACTATCCTTATCTAGCCAAACGTAGTTTATACCTTAACTTATTCTCGAAAATCGTATACTTTTAATGTTGCTGATTATCGTCGTACACTTCTTGTCCTAAAGAGTGCTCTGATATTTGATAATTATGGTTAGTACTGATTCGCCACCATAAAGAGTTCTTCAGATGACAGTTTTCGGGCGCGTGTTCCCCTTCGTCAGAGCAAACAACTAAACAGAATTCTTGATGTTACCGTGATTTCGTAATGTATCAACGACGGCAATGGTGCATCTTTTTTAATAAACAGCTAATCGATTAAGATTTCAGTCTCGACTTGTAATCAGTTAGCTTGAAAAGCTTATCAAAACTCACTATAATCTTTGCCCTTTAGCTGTGTCCGATCGAGCAGTTGCGCTGTACAGAGACCATAAAAACTTTTAACCCGCCAGTGTTATCCTCTCGGAAATTAACGATCGCTTTTCGTGTAATGCGAAAAGTTCATAAGGGAAGCTCAACCACACGGGGCGACAGGCTTCGAAAAGTATGGGATTAAAGGGAGGCAAAAGGGGCCTTCCACATTCCCTCTAGATTCCCTTTATCGGTTTGCTGTCGCTTGCCAACCGCGTAAACACTCCAACAAAACTGGCTGGTCTGCAATCAGCTTTCACAACTAAAAAGTTGAACATAATCCATTTCTTCTCTGTGTTTTCTTTAACTGTTAACAGATGGAAGTACGCCCATAAACGTCAAAGAGATAAGTCTCAGTCCACAACCAATCCCTCTTGCGGAAGGTGCTAACATTAAATTCAGTGGAAAGTTTAAATTAGATGGTACGACTGGGACACAGTATAAACTGCGCCTTTCACTGTGGAAGAAAGCATGGTTTACGTGGTTTCCTATTCCATGTCCAAAGTGGTAAGGAAGATCCATACACTCGTTTTTCTATATATAAGAACGTCCATTTTTCGTGTTGAGTCTGAAAAATAAATTGTTCTTCTCTGAACCTCGGGTATCAGTTCTTAGTATGTTCTTAATATTTTGGCAAATTTCAGGCTGAACATTGTTGTAAAACAGGTTCTTAAAAAAAGAGAGTAATACAATTACCATGCAATGCAAATCTCCGGAACAAAAAGCTATGAGGAACCGAAATAGTTCAAGTTACTAAGAGACGATATATTACTAACATCACTGTCTCGACGAAATTAACCTGGACACAGGCATTATTGACAGATTTGAAAAAAAAGTCGTAATCGACCAATTGAAAATGCTTCTTAGAATCGAATAGGATATCACCAAAAGAGAACTCTAATATAAAAAAATACTAAAAACAATATTAAAGAATCTAGAAATGGAAGCTTTTTTCGATGCAAACTTCAAAACTTGAGAAACATACCGTTTAAAAAGATATAAACTAACACAACGTTTTCAGTTCAGTACTATAAAATCTCGGCTCGCTGCAACAATAATTTAATGGTCCGCATTTAAACTGGGATGCTCTTTTTGTTAAGTGCAAAATCGTACTTTGTTTCTCTTCGAATAATGAAATATTGCTCTATCAAGTTGTAAATTGTTCTTGCAAGACCTGTCCCACTTATCGTTTCTCATTTAGACATAGATTATGATGACATATGGGTACTGCTCAAACCAAGGATATAAAAATAAAGTTTTTTTTACTACTTGTATATATTCCTGGCAACGCTTTCATACTCTTTTCTCCCATTAAGCGCTAACGAAATTGGTTGTTTTATTTAAAGTCAACAGGACGTGAAATGCAGTGAGATAGCTGTCTTCTTAAGAGGAGCAACATGTCCTCTGCCATCGAAGGAGTACGTCGTTGAAGAACAGTCTTTCCATTTGAGTAATTTGCCAGGCTTTATTACTGCCTTAGTCCCCGAGGTTAGTAATAATGACTCTCTGAAAGCGAAATAAGGACCAGTTCAAAGGAATGTGGAAGATGTTAACTGTGGTGTTGTTTATTATCTTGCACTCATAAATGAAACAAAGTCGAGGCTTGGTTGAACAAGTTGATACAGAACACCGTGCAGAGTAAGAAAATCACCGAGGAATACCTAATATATATTAAGCTTACTTGAAGTCCCCCAGACTGTCTTCAGTTTCTCTGTTATGGCCGTGCATACATGCATGTAGATAACTCGAACATGAGGTTCATAGGCTCTCAAAGACCGTTTCACTCGACGCACGTCAACCGGAAGTGGACTTTTCGCAATCTTGGGTTTGTGGTTATGCCCAAATTTGAGGGCAGTTTGTCTCTATAAGCGTAAAGACACTTAGCAATACAAATTTGGTATCGTCCAGGGGTACTGAAAGGGGACGCCTCACTTCCGGTTGGTCTGCGTCGCTCATAAACATCTTTGCTTAAGCTCCTATTGTAGTAAATAGCATGCTTAGGCATTAGAACATCTTTCATCAATTCAAAAAGCGACTTTAAAGATATGGATCTTTTGAAACAACCGTCGAAAGCAAGCTCATTGTACCGGAACGTAGAGCTTAGCTCTTGCTAATGTTTTATGGAAAGCTCCACTTTGCTAATTATGGCCTTAAATTTAAACGGCCAATCTACTTCCTGTTATGAAAAGGTCCACTCACTGGTGGTTATTTATTTTTCAGGGAGATTACTGCGTTAAGGCGGAGCTGCTCGACAGTGGCAGTAATAAACCTGTTGCCTGTGTCGAAGCATATCCTCAGATCACAAAAACCAAGCCAAGTGGGGAATTATAAAGACCGTCACTGTAATGAGGCCTCTAGTATAAGCCTTTGAACACCTTTAAACCGCCATGGCTTTTTAGGACTTTCGTGTCCACGTGTGTTTATATATTTAATCAATTAATTAATTTTAATATGAAAAGCTTTCAATTTTTTCAAGCAATTGAATTTTTTTCTACTGTTTATGGAGAAGGTGACTACGTTCAAATATCCTTCCTCCTTTCTTGCGATGAGCTTGAAACTTATACTACAGGAGAAGGGAGGGGCCATGACGCTTCTGGAGTTTTGTAGTCAAAAAACGACGGGAGAAACACAATTTGAAAACGGCGTGCGGCTGGTTAGCGGGATTTATTGCTTCATCATTTAAGATTTCTCACCTAGAAGTTCTCTGAGAACATCAATGATGATCATGAAGAAGGTACAAAATGTAGATTCTTCTTTTTTTAATATCTTACCATGTTCTTGTTTCATTTAATCGGGCGAAACGGATCAATTTCATAACATCCAGACTTACTTACGGAAAGTAACGACGATATTATGTGCTTCTTATCGGGTGTTAGCATATTTTGGCCACAGAGAAGCATTCATATCTTTTCAGAGATTAAGAGCAAGATTGGCGGTCAATTTTGACCTAGCGGAAGATTTAGAAAACAAAAAGACTTTAAAGATACGTGCGAGCTATGAGCCACGCAAGAGTTATATAGAGTGCGAATGTCTTAGAGCGAGATACCCCAGGATCACTCAAACGTGGAAATAACATCCGCTTTTGATCAGCGACAAATACTGTCTTTCATTCAGCTCGCAATGGGTATATGTTTAGGGAGTCTGAATTGGGTTAACCGTCAATCAACCGTCAGCCCGCTTCAAAAATGAAAAAGTTAACCGTCATCAAGACTCAACCGTGAAAGCTACCCCCCCATTGAGACCCTCTGTTAACTGTTTTTTATAAATCGTCATTGGTCCTTTCTTCAAAGTTCCCGACTTATGATAGAAACAGCATCCGCTACAAATCACGAACACAGTTTCGTTGTTAATACTGCCTGCCGGAGCAATAATTAATATGAAGTTCATTTTTATAACTTTTCTTATCTTTTCATTTTAATTAAGAAAACTAGTTGTGCCTATATATAACATCCGCTGTTGACTATGACCGATCCGGCATTCATTATCATGATTTGGAAGTATAAATATAATTACCAATGTTGGTTTACTGAAGTCCTCCTTTCTGTTATAGGGAAGAACAAATTAAACCGATCGAAAAGCCCTATTGTTTGTAAGAAGAAAAAAGAACTTGAGTTTAAAAATGTTTTTGAATGTTTTCTGCCCCGTTCGCGGAATGTTATAGAAACAAAAGTATTGTGAGTGGTGGCTATGATCAGTAAGTTTAACGAGGCGCGTCGCCATGAGCATCAAACGCGGATGTAATTTGCACGATTGAATAGTTATCTTAATTAAGTTTTCAGTTCACAGAGACTGGCCTTTACTTTATAGTAAGTGAACTTGCTATTAAAATTGTTAGATCAGTATTGATTTTGTAAGCTTATTTTGATTGAACTTTCTCCAAATTAAACAAACTGTTCTGTAAGGCGTGACCACTGAAATGGAAAATAGTAAAAACCACGGCTAAGCCGGGATAGAGATTGAAACGACTTATGGTGTAACGGGGCGTGGGTTGACATCATTCTGGAATGTCTATCTCAAAGCTTCTTAAGTTAACAACGCAGCATCGGAGAAATGTTTTGTGTTCAAAACGGAAACTCCAAGCATCTATCGATCTATAAAGTCCTTTATTTAGCTTGAAATCTCGTAAACACTGAAATACAATGAGCGAAAATAAAGCTATTACTATAAAATCTAAACAAATTGAAATGATCTTAACTTGAGAACGTGGGGCGTGCATAAATCTAAACAATACAAATCTTCTTAAGCGTAACAAATCTGCTTACAATCGATAATAATAAGACATTTCGGGATCTAAATATAAAGAAACAATAAATTTAAGACATACCTCTTTCCCCGGTATACAACTCAAGTATTTGTCACGATCCTAGATTTATCTTTCTTTTACAATCTCTGCGCGTCTCTAGCTCGTGGTCCCAATGAAAGATGATACCGATCACTTATGGAATGTCACTCAAAACAAAGGAGTATTAATTTTAAATAACTATGACGTAGATAACGCAATCACAACCGAAAATATTTCATTTTGTTTATTTCCCATAGATCATCTAAACTTTATGACTTTCAAAAATCATTCTAATTAAAGGAGAACAATTTCTGAAAAACGTAACATATCAGCCTTATCATTGTGCCTGAATTAAGAAAATGTCAACGAATGGCATTTTATTCCTCCCTTTGGTAATTTAAATACCCACAGCCTAGCCTGCGTAGCTGGCGGTATTGGGTAGTACTCTGGGAACCAAAGCACGGCGCAAGAAAGAGAGGAAGACCGGCAACAACATATGTAGACCAGCTGCGAAATGATACCGGTTTGAGCATTGCTGAACTGAAGAGCATCATGGGAAACCGGAAGGAATGGATGAAGCTAGTTAATGAAGTTCGAGTTCGCTCGAAATAAGCAAGCAAGGTAAAATCGTTGGGCAAATTTAAAATGACTTAGAACTCGGTTTTGTTAAACACTCGCTAAACTACGTTTAAATATTTGGCCCAAGATGAATGAAGTGAGAAACCGCGTGTAGGTTTTCCACCTGCTTCGTCAAAAGTTTTTTGTTCCTCGATACAGACTTTGTCGACATCCTCGTTAGCGTCCCTCAATGTTACCTTTTCCGCAGACGTACCTTTTTCGCCTGTTTCAAAAGCGTCATAACGGACCGGTTTAAACTGAAACATGAGTTACAAAAGTGATATCTCGTAAGCACAACTTCCATGAAAGCTAAATGCAATCATTGACAACAACCTTTTCTGATAAGTAGAAAACTAACGAGGCAAAATTCAATGAAAAACGGCAGAATCTAGATTCGTACAGCAAAACTGAAAAAGAAATTGCAAACAGAGCAAAAATGTCTAATAAGCAGTGCAGTGCTTGTTTTGCTTTATTTTAACGGCTTTTCTGGCTGACTTGTTTGATTCTCCCTTCAGATGTTTTGTCTCAACAACAAAATTCACTTTTCTCTAGCTAATGCTAGTAATAGCGCGAGTTTTAAAAGAAAAATGGTTTGAAAATGACGGCTTGCTCACTGACAAACAACAAACAAACTTGTGAATGAAGCTGCCAACGATTCCGCCCGGGTTAGGGGGCAAGATCGTAAAATACTGCCCGCTCTCGGAACCAATCAGATTGCAGGATTTGGAGGATTCGGCCCTCTCGCAAGCTTGGAAAAAAATAATATTACATATTGCATGATATTTGGTACACAGATGAACATACCAAAAAAACCCATGTCTACTTCACACAGACATGCGGGGTGGTTGTATGAGGGGAGGCGACTGCTGAAAAAAAAAATTGATCACAGGCAAAACACTAAACTCTTCTTTGGTGTGTACCAGTTGTTTACTAAAGTCTTAATACATTTTATTACTACAATGTATAAGGAAAATCACAGTGACTGTTAAAGTGCTACTACGATCAAATCCTTGACTACCATTTTTTTTCGCTGGATCGGCGGTTTAGTACTTGAAGTACATGGTGTGCAAATCATAGCTTCATACGATTAAGGAAAGTGGTCATTTTCTGCGCTCAAAAACCATTAATTTTCGTCCGCCATTACAACGCTATGTTCCTGTGGCCTGGTTACCAAGTACACAAGACAATTGCTTTTTGACGTCATTTTCTCAACGCAGTACACACAGAGCATGAAAAATTTCTCGAAAGAAACCTGCTCAAACAATGTTCCCTATCCTCCCACTTGGATGCGTTCTTGTTTAGGAGAACTCTTTCGATCTTACCACATTAGGCTCCGTATGTGTGCAGCAACCGCTTCAGTCAATAGAATTGAGGTGCTCGCGAGCCTGACCAACTGAAGGAGAGATTCGAGGAATAGGTTTGTTTCCAGCTGGCAGTTTCGCTGTTTTCTCGGTTTAATAACCTCGAAAGAGTGCTGCAATAGCATTTGCAGCGGCTTTCAACGCAAACCAGTCGCGGAAAATTAAACTTGGATCAGACTCTTTTGCTAGCATAAAAATTATGGAAGAAAGATCAATCAACAGATCTTGAATCTGAAAGAAATCTTCGCACCAAGAGGGAGCGCATGTAGGTAAGCTTACAGTTCCCAAAACTTGCAGTGAATGTCCCCAATGCCCACTCTCTGCCCCTGGGTCTCCGAGGATGGGTGGTTCCCAGTCCGACTTAACGTGGAAAGGATTAGGTTCTTGGGACTGGGATAGGAAGCCAAACAGCAACAATTTCGAGTATCCTCACTATTTCTAGTGAGCGTTCGAGCGATAATAAAACTGAGAAATGAATTATACATTACTGAGTGATTTCTGTACCATATACCGAATACCTAAAATTCAGGAAAAAATGAATACTTTATACCCGAATTTTGACCAAAAAATACCATATACCTGAATTAAAATGGCTCGGGATACCGTATACCCAAAACTCCTGGCCGGTCCTGTAGATTCTAAGACGAGTACAACTACGACTACGAGATTTCCTCAAGACTAAGTAGTAAGCTCGCGTAAACCAGCGTCATATTGGCGCGAAAATGGGATAGTCATCCGTCATTCTGCCACGAGTTTTAGCAAGAATGTCGTGTTAGCGGTTACTATAAACTGCAAAGACTGTTGTTCATGCTTACATAACCTGGCGTTTAGATTACTCTAATGCCCTGTACTATATGGTCTTCCAAAGTATCTGATTGATAGACTTCAATTTGTGCAGAATTCAGCAGCTCGCCTGGTTACCGCGTCGAGAAAGCGTGATCATATTACACCGATTCTTAGGCGTTTACACTGGCTCCCTGTACGCTATAGAATTATTTTTAAGATATTGTTACTGACTTATAAGGCTCTAGACGGTCAAGCACCTAGCTACATAAAAGATCTGCCGAAGT